AGTTTCTCATGTAGTTTAGCTGAAATAGCACATAGATTAGCTAAAGAATTGGCCTTTATTAGTTTTTCGGTTGCGCGCGGGTTCCCAGCGAGGACCAGTAAATTCCCATCGCGTAGAATCGAGATCGAGTCGATGTATGTTGTAATGCTATCTAGAGCTTTTTTTTATAGCAAAAGGGCTAATTTGGGAAATTGTTATACGAGCATCGGTTGAAGAAATAACAATATATTTTTTATCAATAGGGATTATATCGCTGATCGGCAACACCGGAAAATCTGATTTTTTACTTTTTTTTCTTTGGGGGGATGTATCACTTAATAGATAAAATCTATTCGGGTTTTTGTCTGGCGGCCCCGGGGCCAATATGCCTTATTGTTGTCTATTTATTATTATTTTTGAAATAACCACTCACTTGAAAAGGTTTGGGAACTGTGCAAGAAGGTTGGGAACTACTAAAGAAAAGTGTCAAATGTTTTCAATTTTTTTTTTTTTTTTATTTTGTTTTTTTGTTTCCTATTTTTTATTATACATAGACGAAACAAAAGCACATACGCGATATCCGCGTTAACCAGTTTTAGCAATAACACTGAAAAGACAGAAGTTAAATACACAAAAACACCGAAAACACCGAAACAATTGAAAAAACGCAGACGGATAGAAAACACGCACTACACTGAACACAAGTCGACTCGTCTTTCAAGAAAAAAAGTAATATAATATAATTAAAGAGTAATCTAAATAAATCTGTAAAGAATTGTGAGACAAGAAGAAAAAAAAAAATTTAAAAGCAATTGAAACGATAGACTAATTTTGGAAAAAGTACATTTTGCACATTTTTGTTGTTCTCCATATGCGAACTTAATTGTGTTAAAGATCGCACACATAAATATGTTTAATTGTAAAAGCGAGTTCTTTCTATTTAGGAACTTAAAATTTATGCACCCGTTTTCTTATGATTGTCTTTATTATGAAACAATATGCAAAAGTGAAAAAAAAGGCAAATGGAAAAGTTGATGAACAAGAAATATAAATATAGAAAGAAAGTACGGAGTGTTATGCATTTCGAAATTGGAAGAAAATTTTGTAAGAAGTCCAATAAATCCAAATGGAAACACTAGAAGAATTCTTTCACACCAATTGTGAACATGTGCCTGTACTTAGGAGCCTAATCAAAATCTTCTGTGTTGTTTTTCATAACCTCAATTAGTCATGACTGTCTTCATACGCTCCTACTATGCAATCACCTTCAATGTGTCTCTGCTGTTTTGTCATCATCACTGCAATCTCTGCAATCGCCTTATTATATTGTAGACACTCCCGACGGAAGAAATTGTAAGAAAAAAAGGTTAAGGTAGATAAAACTAAGCATCCTATAGTTTCCGTGAAAACAGTGTATATGTGCGTTTGCATGTGAGCATATGAAAGTGACCATGGGTACTGAATAACGGGCAAAAGAACGGCACTAACGAACAACGAGGCTCGCGGACAGGTTTAAATTGTTCTTGATTTAACATATTTTTTGGATATAATATATATATATGTATAGAAAAGAGAAAGAAAAAAAAGGAAAAAAAATTTTTAAAAATACATCTGAGCTAGTCTGGCAACGAAAAGTACAAACCCAACTTCTACGTACACATCACGAAATCTATAAGGATATTTTATAGTTAAAGCAGCATATAAGCAGGGCACTACTTATGTGTCTTTTATTTAACTAACTGTCATTTGAACAGCATAGTTTGAGAACCATCTCGTTGAGAGTTATGTATGGCTTTCGCCTTTCGAAATAAATTTTGAAAAAAATAACGGAAACATAAGTAGAACATTTGATCTTTGTTTCTTTTTAACTAAATCATACAAACATAAAGAAAAACAAAGTTATGTCAAATTTTTAACGATTTAAAATTTAGTGAAATAATTTCATATAAACCATGTAATTTCATATTTTTATTTCTTAGGAAACCTTTGAATTGTGAAATTGAAGTTTGAATTTTAATATATATTATTTGAATTTACCTACAAAGAATGTATAATGTTTTAAAATGAATCAATCTAGTTTTGAATCACATAAACAAAAGCCAACGCTTTAATTTTCACAAAACATCCTAAAGCCTATTTATTCTTTATATCTTTTAGTTCAACACAATTAAATTTGAAAGTGCAGAAGCTATGCCGGTTTATATTTCCTCACTTATTCCCGTCAATTGGAAAGTCTCTACGAAACGGCGACACCGTCGCAACGCTTACGAAAGTGGCTAGCCGCCAGCCGTTGATAGGCTCAAAACACCACCAACTCCAAAGTGAGGATTAAATGCATCACTGGAGACATGTAGGTTTTTCTTATAACATCACTCACACCAACGTTTCCTAAAACGTCTCCAAAAGCCTGTTTTGACACGCGAGACCTTTGCAGAAGTCTACATGTAACAATATGTGTATGTCTATTTTAATTTATGTTGTTAACAAATGTACAAATTGTCTACTTACACATTTTGGGTAACCTAAGAGGAGTTCTCCCCGCAGCGCACTTCTATGTGTTACAAGATTCCTTTTAAGTCAATTTCGATGTTCTTTTAGTGCCAAGTAACATAAAATGAGCAAAGGGTTGACTCCGGTTAATATGTATGTATTTCTCAAGATTTTTTTTTTTTTTTTTTTTGGTATGTTGAACAGAGATGGACTAAGCCAACAGATTTGTGGCTTATATGTCCAAATAATAAATTGTTGTAATTTTTAGTCACGATTATGTATAAAACGTACCAAAAAAAAAAAAGAGAGCGGCCGTAATAACTGGAGTGAGCACGTTAAATGTAATTGTGTGTGTGTGTAAGTGTACTTGTTGAGTTCTTGAAAGTCAGACAGTGTTGCAAACTTTGGTTGAAAACGAAAAGGAATGTTATGGTAATTGAAAATGATTGAACGCAAAAAAAGAAAAAAAAAAAAAAAAAGGAAAGGAGGAAAAAGAAAAAGTTCTAAAAGGATAAATTGGCTTTTCTAATAAAGCAAGTTAGTTCCCCGAGATGACGTACATTTTTTGCTGCAAAGAGATCGAGGAGACAGCCATATAACTCGAAGAAGCTAAAGGAATCTCTAATGCCATGAAGCCTGTGACATCTGAAGATTAGATGCTCAGCAGACTCAACAACATTGCAAACTTTACAAACATCACATGGTATAGCGCGAATCATTTTTAAATAAACTTTGTCATAAGTGTGACCACTCATGAGTCTATAAAGAATTTTGATTTCCCAGGAATTAAAAGAAGATACAGAGAAGGGTTTGAATTGAAATGTGGGATTTAATTGATAGAAAAGACGATTGGATTTAACGCGCGCGATTACTTTAAATTCGTCGTTTAGCTGTTGAAGGATGTGGTTGCGAATTGCCCGAATTGCTTCATTGGGAGTATATTTGATGGACAAAATTGTCCCATCAACACGAGCTCTCCCTGCATGAAAGTCGGTAGGTACCCAAACGAGGTGACAGTCATCCACTTGAAATTCGTGCAACGTCTTGTGAATGTCAAACACATATTGATTTTCTGCATCTCTTTTATTTATTAGAAGTAGAGCTGACCTGCTGTCGGAAAAAATAACAAAACGTCTGATACCATCGGAAATAGCAACCATGATAGCATGTCGAATGGCGAGCAACTCAATAAAAGTAGAGGAAAGTTCCTCTTCCACTTTGACTCGAAGTATTGTTTCAGATAGATGTTTCACGACCGTGAAGCCAGATACATTATGTCCGACGGAACCGTCCGTGGCATATATATCATATCCGTTGTTGTAATAAAAAAGGAGCTTTTCTTGGCATAACAACCTTATACAAGAGAAGTTGACATTTTGTTTTGAGGTAGAGATCGGTTCGAGAATGTTCATGAAGACTTTGCATTTGCTGGTAATGAAATTCAAGGGGGAATTGAATCTAACTTATCAAAAATATGACGAAGTTTTTGATAGCAAAGAGTACAGTTGCAAGTGACAGTATCACTGAGAGATATAATTTCCTGAAAAAAGGAAGGATTTATCATCTTGACTTTAATTAACTCCTTGGCAGTGCAAAAAAGGGCTCTTTCGGAAACTGGCCATTCACCAGATTTAATATTGAGAATATGTTGAGGAGTTGAGGGGGTCAGTCCAGTACAACGCTTCAACATTCGGTTTTCAAATGCTTGTATACGTTTTTCAATATATTTTGGGAAATTGCAACATGTGAAATGTCCAAATTCAATTTTCGACCTGACTAGAGATTTGTAAACGGTCAAAGCATTTTTGGGAGGCAAGCCTGCCTGATTGTTTGTCATGAGTTTGATGATGTTGCATCCAGACTGACAATCTTTGAACGCCTTTTCATAATGCCCACGAAGGGTTAAGCTGTCATTTAAAATTCTCCCAAGAAATCGAAGAGATTTTACCTGATTATCTTGGGTACCTTTGATAAGAAGTCTGATTTCACGTTTAGAACCTTTGGCAAAATAAATAGTGTTTGTCTTGCTGGGGTTAAACTATAAATTAAGATCAGCGCATGCATCGAAAAACAAGTTCGCTTTCATCGAGAGGTTATTGACAGCTGCTGGAATAGATGAGTCCGCAGATACGATTAGAAAATCGTCTGTATATTGAAAAATGTGAGTTTTGTCATCTTGAAGATCATGCATAGAAGCTGCGTATAAATTGAAGAGTATGGGGCTTAAACAACTGCCTTGTGGGATACCACCGCATATTTCAACTTTTTCGGTACCCATCACCAACACCCGCTTGGATAAAAAATTAAGTATCCACAGCCGCATTTGAAGAGGAATCGAAAAGTTTAGGAGAATTCTACCAAGCTTAATCAAGTTGACACAGTCATAGGCTTTGCCGATGTCCAGAGAGAGCATGACAACCATTTTCCCTGCTTTTTTTAAGCTGGCTATGAGAAAACACAGTTCATTAACGCACATATTCGTAGATTTGCGTTTTTGATAGGCGTAAGACCGAGCTGGAATATTGTTCTTAGTTTTCAGGAAAGCAGTTAGTCTCTCCTTAACCATGAGGCTGATGGTCTTTATGAATACAGATATTAGTGAAATTGGTCTGAAGCTACTTAAATCATTTAAGTCTTTACCTGGCTTGGGAATGGGAAGTATTTTGATGCAATGCAAATCAGAGAGTATAAAGTTGGTGGACCAGCAGTTGTTAATTGCATGCATAAGCATGCTATAGCTTCCTCCAGACAGTGCTCTGAGCATGTCATACTTGACTCCATCACAACCTGCAGCAGTAGCTCTCTTTCTGGAATGTAAAACATACATTAGCTCATGCAATGGAAAGGGTGTTCTATTAATACTACTAAAAGGAATTGAAGGCATTGTAATAGGATTAACAATTGGAATGTAGCTCTTGAGCATGTCTAAGTTTTTTTTATTATCACGGTCATTCCATACAGCACAACCGCTTAATTTTCGACTAGAATGTCGATGACCATTGATATAATTCCAGAAGGAACGTGGGTTGCCGTTACCACATAACTCTTTAATAGCGATGGCTCTATGTGCCCTTTTCGCCTTTCTAACTGCAGACCTCCATTCTTTCAGTATTTTCATATATTCAAGGTAGTTGGCTGGATTAGCATATTTACTCATTTTTTTTCTTACAGCTTGGTATTTGCGGAAAAGTGTTGACAGGGAAGGATTCCACCAAGATTTAGGTGAGAAGGACTCAATGTCAGGGAAGTTGGTTCTAGCAGACATGATCACAGACTGAAAGGCACTTTGAATTAATGATAAATCAGAAGGAATATCAACTTTAGACAGACGGTCCATAAGGAAGTTGCGTGAAATGAAATTTTCTATTTTCTTGACGGAATTGTTACAACTGTGGAATATAATGGGGGAGTGCTGACTTTTGCCAATGGAAACATTGGACGTGTTCCAGTTGAAAGATAAAATAGTTGAGTTCGAGACTGCTCGCCATGCGACCGCACCGGTTACAGTGAAAGGTAGTATTGCCGTTATTTAAGACACTGAAACTGCTGGAATTGATGGCATTTACAAGGATTTTGCCTTTGTTGATAGAGACTTGATCGCCATACAGGCGGTGTCTTGCATTGAAATCTCCAGCTAGAATCACATTTTGTTCACCGTCAAGAAAGTCGCATAATCTCTGAATCTCATCACGAAAGGTTTGCACATCGAGACTGGGTGGAAAGTAGCATGAGGCTATGAAAAGATTCGGTTTCAGGTTGATGGTTTTGATGATGATGATGTCAACGGCAGAGTTATAGGGAATACGTCTGAAATTGACACCTTTCTTAACTAATATACTAACACCACCATAGCCATCATTTCGGCATTTGGTGGCTGAGGCATAATTCGAAACTTTAACTTCGAAAGAGTTTTCATCTTTCAGAAAAACTTCAGTTAAGATAAAAAAATCAATCTTGTTTGAGTTTAAGTAAAAATCTAGAAAAGATAGGTTACGTCGGACACTTTGAATATTATATTGTAAAAAGGTTATCATGTTGAAACTTGAGAAAGAACCTCAGTGGATTTCCTCGCAGTACTGGATGCTCGAACGGGGCAAGAAATAGCACAGACAGACATTTTTTCTTCAAATTCTTTAATAAGATTGTGAGGGATCATCAGACGGATACTTTCTTGAATCGCGAGAATTAATCTTTCAAGTTCTGAAGACCGCAAATAGTTGTTTGAAATTTTCGGTCCAAGAAGGTTTGTTCCAGACGACTTGGTGGGTATATTGGGAGAAGGCTTGGTGGCTGAATTGATAAGAGATTTGGAGGGTACCAATTTCCTTTTGACGACAGCATTGTATTTATTTTTGGTTAAGATTTTGAAGCCAACTTTGATGCTGGTTGTGGGAATCCACTCGTCTTAGTTGTTGGGATTTCTTCTTTGGAAACGGACAGCGGACTTAATCGGAATATCGGATACGGCGGTTTTAATTATATCATCGACACTATATGTGCATGGGATGTTTCGAATAACTCCAAATCTCTCAGTGAACGACCTCAGTATGTACGCTTTTAAATTCTTTTTATTAAATTCATTATTCATAACAAAATTGTTGGCATTGGCAGCGTAGGTGAAAAGCAGTTCGGCTCTACCCCTGCTGACAACTTTTAATTCTTTTAAGCCGTACATACCGAAATCCTTCAAGTAATCATAGAAATAGAGATTGGAGTTAATATTGATGCGATTTCCTTCTGCATCCGCGCACGTTTCGACAAAAACGACAAAATTGCAGTTGGAAAGGCAATCGTACAAATTAATCTCGAGATTTGGGGCGGCTGTGGCACCCAAATCAAAGGGCTGGTCGGTAGCCTGTTTACTAGGCGGAATTAAAACGTTTGCGTTAGCTTCTCCGTTATCAGATAAAAGAATGTTATTCTCACCCATTGTCGATCTCTTGGTGTGCCCAGTGGCGTTCATGTAAAAATTTTCAAAACAGTCTCTATTAGTAGTTATAAGATCAGACCCAGTCTCCATAGGGAGACGGGCTGATGTTGTTTTGGTTGTTATCACAGGGAACACAAAAAGAAAAAATCACAAAGAAAAAACAAAAAATAATAATTGAATATATGTATTGCTTCTTAATTTTTCTCTCACGAGAGATTCCTCCTCCTTCCCTCCTTTTCCTTCTTTAAAATTGTTTTCTTTGGTTATTTTATTACTTTATTAAACCTCTTTTCCTTTTTTCAAATATTTAAAATCTCTTTCTTTTTTTTTTTTCTTTTTTTTCACCAACACCGGTAAATACAAAAATTATCCAGCTGCCGTTTGCGGAGATGACGTGTTGTGTCAAGTGTGAATGAAATGCGAAAAGACATATTCCTCAAGATTACTTGATTATTTAATAACAACATTTTATTTACCTTTTTTTCCGTTTTGATTACTAAATTGGATTAGGTCTGTTGGCGGTAAGACCAAAGTAAGTGATGAATTTTTATTCTATGTTGATCCTTTATGCTTTATCAACGATAGTGACGGTATATGATAACGTATAGGACAGTTGATTAGACACAATTGATTTTACGTAACAATTGACGTAACAATGTACGTAAACAATTTGGTTCGCAATTTGTTTTATTTTCAATTTATAGCTGTTTCTTCTTGTAAATGCAGCTCTAAACAATTAACACTAACTCAGAACAGCCAATACTAACGCAAAGCGTCATCAATTTTGTTTATGCAACCGTACCTCTTGCGCGTGCACAAGGCTAAATAGTTGAAACTCCAAATTAAATCCTATTTAACACCTACATAATCAATGCCCAAAACAACCAATATTAACGCAAAGCGTGAGCAATATGCGGTCACTTACATTTTTATTAAAAAATAAATAGAAAAATTAAAAGAAAGTGTACTGGTATTTCTATACAGAAAAACCTTTTTTTTCGCTTTATTAGTTTTGCATTTTATTAACGTTTATGTATCAACCACTTTTTTTAAAGGCATCACTGAAAGAGGAGGGGTATATTCATTTCGTCGAAGCGTTTGTATCGCCCAGAAGGAAGCATCAGGGACATCGCAAAGAATATAAATAGTAATAAAAAAAAATAAAGTTACGGTCCTTTATATTCACGAAGATTCCCTATGAATCCTCTCTAGGTATGACCAAGTGTTTGATAGTATTTTGTCCTAGCTGCTCGGCTTCACAACGCCAAGTCTGGCTGCTTCTTATAAATGCCAAACGAGTTCGGCATGAAGTAGTGTCTAATAAAAATAGTTTTTTGGCGGATGGAACGCCTAGCGAACTAATACGCTTTGTTAAATTAACTCTCTTTATTTCTGGTAGAGCTATTTATACTTAATTCTACAGGTATTATAATGCTAAGGTAATCAAAATTAATAATTATTTTAATCGGGGTGCCCAGCATCGTTTTGCATTTCGTAATGCAATACTCAGCCAATTGAAGTGTGACATAAATTTTGTTTTCTTTTTGTAAAAGAATTATACTGAATTTGCATAATTCTGTCACACTTCAAAATGGATGCATATAACGATATGCGATCACACTACAATACATTGTTGATGAGCATGAAATTCTGAATCGATTTAGACATGTTCGTCTGACCTTCTATATAATACCTGTTGTAAACATTCTCCTGACCTAAACGATCAATTGAACTATCGCCTACAAACTTTCAAGAGAATTTAAAAAGGACCTAAAGTTTTCAAAGAACACGTGTACATTACAAAAATTGTGTACTCTTATGCTTTCCGTGTTTTTTGCTTGTTATTCATAAAATACAGCACTCACACCATTTCTACAAACGATTTCTACTTTTATTCTCAAAGTAGAAAAAAACAGCCGCGTCCATCGAAAGTTAGAGAGTATGGAAACTTTATTATTTTACCTTTTTTTAGGATCGCGGTGATTTATATAAAAAATCTGGTCACAACCGAATATAATTTTCTTACTTGGTTTGCGTTGGCAAGGCATGCAAGCTATATCGTCAACTGATATTGTCTTTGCGGCGTTGTGCGCATTGTATTTTCCACTTTAGTCGGAAAGAGTAATCTCTGTTGATAACAGCCGTGAGAACAGGACACTCCAGGATAGAATTCCAAACATTTCCCGAACAACCTTTGCGATCGAGTTCACTCATCATGGCGCTCATTTTTTTTCGCACCTGATTTTAACGAAACAGTTCTGCCCAGCATGTAGCCATCTCATAATGGCTCTAAAGAGTTCTCAATGTTCGCCCTTTAAGTTAGCCACCTTGACAGAGCAATGTTCAAAATTTTATCTTCATATACCGTAATTCTTCTTACGAAACTTCTAAATTTCTTTACCCAAAACAACCATTTTAACTCCTGCTAATGTGTAAATCATAGTATAGATAGATACCCAATTATAACAGAAGTTTAGTTTTACCCTTGTATTGCGAAAAAATATAATTTTACATAAAATAAAGCATTTAAAATAGTAAGTATACTGTCGTTTCAATATTCTTAGTTAAAACCTCTGCATTTTTCACGCGCAAACGGCAGAAACAATCAATAATAGCTCATTTCCATACATTCTTTCATCTTATAACACAGAAATCAGTCCAACCATTTTAACTGCCGACTACTAAATTAATTTGTGAGTTCACAAAAACGTCAGAAATGGCGTTGTCGTAAGTTTTATTCTTAACCGTGGGCTGTTTTGTTTATGCAAACGCATTTATACCTCTCTATAACTAAATCTCAAAAAACTAAATTCTTATTTTATGAATATAAAATGTGTAAAAAAACATAGAATACATGAAAAACTTGTTTAAATGAAATAGAATTTTCTTTAATATTTTCATATTAAACCTCAAAGTACGTAAGTAAAGACCATGGGTTACAACACCAACATTTTCCAAAAATTATTTGCAATTACGAACTGGCTTTATTATATCCCCGATTTTAAAATCGTTGCTATGCCATTGCTGCTATATGTAGTTCTTCTCCGTGGTTTTGGACTATCACATTCCTTTTCTCTATCATTATCCCACATTCATGCTCGCCTTCGCTGTTTTTCGCTATTGGTAGGCTTTAAAATATCTACCTCTTTCAGGTTTCATTTATTTTTGTATCATGGATATCGAAATTATTTCTTTGCATAATAGCCTTAGATTTTTTGACAGTAGGTTAATCGGAGTTTCTAACTCAAAATTCACAATACAAAATACGATATTTTATTTATCCCACAATACTATCGTTATTTAGTGCCTACTTTCATAATCCGGCAAGCTTTTCTCAGCAGGGTTTGTGAGTGCTGCCAAGAAGCTATGTAGGTATATAAATGTATAAAATTATTAATGCCGATGTGAATTAGCAGCATTGCATTACTTCTATGTTTTCTGTGCACTTTTGATTTATGCAAGGCTAGTTAAGAAGAGAACGTAAATTAAAAAAGAAAAAATCGGGAAAAATAAAAAATAATATAAAATAGGCCGAAACTTCTCCATATTCCAAAAAATAATTTTGAAAAAGTAAGACACTGTAAACGAGAGTTACTGTCCAGTTCGAAATATTACCACAAATAATATAATATTCTGATGCAACAAGCAAATTTTCTAAAGTGAATTGTGAAAATTATGTCTAAGTAAAAACTATATTTCTAAACGCATCAACGATAATAAAAAATTAAGATTAAGGTTAAAATATCCATTTCTTGCTCAAAAAGAAACTGCTGATTGCGTAAATCACAGTCCTACTATAAAAAAGCGTTTACATCGTATTATTAGACAAAATTTTGGCAGTAAGTATACTTAGAATGAATTGCATTATTTTGGATTGTTGTTTATCTTTTGCATATAATTGCTAAGTTTTTTTTAAAACAATTTATATAATTTCAAGGCTTATGTTGGATTTGCTTCAGTCTCTGATTATGTTCAGATTAACCAGCGGGGTAAGCTCACCACAAATAGGCGCACCTGGAAGAACTTCAAAATCTCAAATAGGCTCTTGAAATAATATGCCGGTCAAGTTAGAAAATTTGCTGATTGAAACGCATTAGAAGAGTTTTCAAAGTTATATCGAGTTCCAACATTTCGTGGTTAATTTTATTAAATTTTGCTTTGGTAGCAACAGCTGCGTTGGTTAAAAACTGGGGCATGCTAAAAATTCAATATATGCTCTATATGCAATATATGCAATATATATATATGTATACATATATATATACATATATATGCATGTTTACATTTATTTATATGTACATGTACAATATTATATGTACATCTAGAAATACAGAGAACCTTCCAAATTTTTTTTCGCATGATTGAAATATATTAAGAGATAAAGAAACACTAAATATCTTCGGCTGACTCTTAAAAATCGAAAACTAAATGAAGTTTTAGTTAGTAGCTGAGAATGATAACGGGTAGATCCTATAGAGTTCTAAAAACGGAACCTAAACGTACACGGCGATACCATGTTGTAATTTCCCGATGGTGAAAGAACTACATGCTTGACTTATCAAATCGGTGCCTCTACAGAATGCAAATACTTTGCAAATCTATCATTTTGTTTTTTGTTGTTTTTGGGAAAGCTGGCGCCCTTTAAGTAAGAACATCATATAATATTTTATAGTTATTTAAATTAAAAAGGGCGTTTTCTTCAACTCGACATAGGGCTATTCCAAAAGCGACTTGTAGACAAGGGTGCGCATTAGTTCCAAAAAGAAAGATACTGAAGTGGATTTTGTCGAAGCAACTCGGAGGCTGATTTTCTTTCCCTGGTGAAACTAAAATGCTGTCCTTTCCATATAAAAAAATCTCCGGGATCTTAAAAAGTCTATTCAATGTTTTTGTCACTGCCAGATGCCTACTGGCGGGAACATGGATATAATCAAAGCGTTGATTCAAAGCGCATATAGTTTGTGCTAACACAAGAAGTATTATCTTTTTGAGGAGTGGAAGAAAGTTTTAGTGAAATCGATATATAAACAATTATTTTGTTATCAAACTTATCGCAGATTTGGGATTAATAACAAAGTGTGTTTATATTGGGCTGAACCGCTTGGTTGCACGTTGTCAATTTTAGCAATTAATTTTAGTTAGTGTTTGATTGTTCATTCTTTTTTCTTCTTCTTCTTCTCAGGGCTATTAACTGGATTTATAGTCCACGGATAGAAGTGAGAATGTTTGAACTAGGAATTGGTAAACCTTTCAGCAACACATTAAATGGAATTTTTTTATGTTATCTTCATCTAAAATTGTAACATTTCAGGAAGAAAGAGTACAGGTACAGAAATTTCCATGTTTATTAAGGCGCCTCATTTTTAGTGCGAAGGTAAATTTTTTGTACTAAAATTTCCCAATATTCCAACTTTTCTGAAATTTGCCAAAATTAACCGCACACTTTTATCAATCCTTGCTATATTTTTATGCTAGCTTAAGAGTTCGCAAAAATTATTTGCAATGGAGAAGTTCGTTTCTTTTTTTCTACTGGTAAATTCAATTCTTTAGACATAATATTAGTGCAGTTTTACTATTGCTATTTATGAAAATACCAAAAAGTTATATTTCAAATTTTTCCAAGCAGTATACACAACCGAGTGCTATATAAAATTCGCACAACGCCATTGCTGGATATGAAGATCGTACATCATTTAAGGTGGAAACATTCTTAAAGGAATATTGAATTTTACATTCTTTAAATGCTTATACAACAATTAAAGAATCACAATTCAATCCAAACTATAACATCCCTATATAGATCAGAAAAAGCACACTTGCTCAATTTACTTTTCGGCATTTTCGGACGTATTTTTCTCCACGTCTAGATTTTTTAATGTTTTTTTAGATCGTCTTATTGGTGGTGATGGCAAATAGAATCTTTTTCCATATAGTATATAGTATACACATATACGCTGTGTTTCGCTAGTTTTGATGCTTGGTAGGGTAGTCGGTAAATATTCGTGTCTAATTTAATATTGTGAGACATTTCGTGTGGTAATGTTGCATATGTTCGTTTGTCTCGATTTCTGTTAATTTCATTATTATGGCGCGCGTACGTATTGTGTGTGTATCTACAGCATATTCCCATCAAATAAACAATAAGAAAAAATTTATGTGTATGCATGTATATCACGTATATAAATTTCGTAACTATTATCCAGAGTTTTATTTTGGTTATCGACGTCGTGTGTGCGTATTATGTGCAAATATAATATTATTATAATGCATTAAAGAGTGGCTTATTATTTCCGTCGAAGGAGTTTAAAGTTAATTTAGGTTAACGTCTTAAGAATGAAAAATAGTTATACAACCGTAACTGACTTTAGTCGGGAAACTTGCTTTATTCAACATTAGGGTAGTATTAGGCGCTGCTTTGGTCTTTGAAAATAGCTTTTTGGCTTTTAAAGTAATGAATTTGAAAAATTACTACTGCTTGGGGTTGTTTACATACATGAATGTGTTATATATTTAGCGCTCAGACAACAAAAATTAGACAAAGCAAAATAAGACATGTGTATAGGTGTTTGTTATTGAATATATTAACTTACCCACATAAGTGTGTCTATACATACGTATAGATCAACTCATTTCTATATAATATTATATTTGAATTTTGCTCACTTCTTAAATTTGCATATTATCCAAGCTAATTGTCTAGCATTTATGCGAACGGTATTATTAATGTAGTTTCTTTAATGTTATTTTTTGTACCTTACTACACTTACGGATAAGTTATATTACGAAAGTAAAGAAGTTATGAACATAATATCGGATTGCGAGATGTTCAAAACGATGGATTTTGGGTAGTTATAAGAAAGATGATTTTATGTGTTTCATGAAAGGGAAATACAATAAGTGCAAACTTATTTAAGCACAACTATAACAAGGATCTGAAAATCAACAAGCGTCCGATGATTTTTGTAAGTATTGCTAAAGTAAAGATGGCTTAGGATGCAAAATTATGTACTATATTCCGTGAATCTAATCCAATGTAACTGAAATTTTTTCGCTACTTCGTTTTAAATTATGGTCTAATTTTATGAACCTGGTAATATGTGAATTTAAGGGGCCCTTTGGCGATTAACCCGGCATAAAGATTCGAATTTTTACTGAAAGGTGCTAAATCCTATTCCCTATTTATCTACCACATATCAAAGATGGATGATAAATTTAATTGAGAACATCTTAAGCTTAAAAGGAAGGGAGGCCGCATATAATACAGTCCAAATTGGATAAAAAATTTGACTTTAAAAAAACGACATTTGATCTAAAATTTACACAATAACCCACAATATACAAAAATGTGATATGGGCATGGTAAGTTCGCAAAGAAGCAAGAAGAAAAAACTTTTGCTTGTAACTTGTGACAGACATTGATATAATCTATCGTACATTTCCCAGACCAGTCTAAAAGATTAGTCTAAAAATGGTTGCACGGTTAACCAACACGCCAATTCCTAATAAAATATTCAGAAAATTTTTGAAATTGCGGGTATTAAAAATTCACACCGAAGCGAATTTAAATTTTTTGATTGTGTACGTTTGGTGGTGAAGAGGAGGATTAAGGTTTAAAAAAAATTTTTTGAGTGGAATTGTGAATAAACTTAGATGCCTCTGTTGCCATATTTTTTAGTAAACTTTGGATAGTTGGTGCACTATTCACTAGCAATGATACAAAAGATAGTTAGATTGAAGCACTCTCAAAAAGAAAATACGCAATTTTTTTATGTTTATCAAGCCCATGGAAAGGTTTTATTTTTATACCCTATGAAGGATGGGGCGTACTCATTTTGTCATCACGTTCGCAACACCCAAAACGAAGCTCTAGAGGGAATATAAAGTATGTGTATGCTTGATTAACGTCAATTTCTGAATCGATCTAGGCAGGGCCATCGGGACTACACTGCTTTTAGAAATTGACTCCAAATTTGCAAAAACATTGGAAATTTTTGTAAGCAAGTTGGTATTGAAAATCGCTCAAAGGTCACGCCCACAGCAAAACAAAAGCTGACGGAAATTTTGGTTCGCTCGTTATTTTTAAATTATAAGATCGCAAATTAATACCTTCTGAATTTATTTTATGGAAGACCATACTATTTATGTCCAAAAATGGGAAAAATCCACCACGTCCACACCAAGGTTATGTATGAAATTTTCATTTTTGTTATTTTTTGGAGGTTTTCCATTTATTTTCTATTTAAGGTTAACAATATAGAATATTGAGAGTGGAATACCGCAAGCTAAATGGGTTAACTATAAATTACATACGGCATGGCAAAGTGGATTAGGGATTTCTCAAAAATGTCGTCGGCATGGGTATCAAATAAGAGCGCTTGGAGAATAAATTATATTAAAAAAAATTTTTAAAATAACCTTATGTGTAAGTGAACTAAAATCTGGGAAATGAGTTTCATCCTAGCCACTGTTATGTCTCCACGTATAAAAGCTTGGAGCGCTTAAGGTTTTCATATGTAAGCAGTTGGTTTCTTCTAAACCCCCTAAGCTTTTATGTGTAGTCACGTAGAAGTTTTAATTCTTATATAATTTATGTTACGTATTCGCCTTAGGAGCTGAGTAGGCAAAGAGTCTCGACTAACAACTCATTGGTCGTGGGTTCAAATTTTAAGCTTTATGGTTTCCAATAAACCCGAACACCTTAGATGTTAGTGCTTTAAGACTTGAGTCTCAAAATTTATTCTCCGGCTAGTTAAGTTTGTTTATTGTTTGATTAGTATATAACGGAAATTATATGAGAAATCTGCTTATGGAAATGTTTCATGGAAATATTTCTGTCTAAACATTAATTACAATATTAAAGCACGAACCGATAAAAATCGGAATCAGTATTCGGCATATATACACACGTCGACGGAAAAATAGGTATATGTTGTTTTGTGTTGGTAGTGGATATTCTTTTCTAGTTTTCTCCTATTATATATTAGATATATCATTTATTTATAAAATAGGAAGATTTCTGTATTTAAAAATGGTTTTAGAGTTATGTTAAATATGAACAAAAACTTAAAAGAATTTCGTTTCAAAAATATCGCATGTTGTCAGGTGAACAGTAAGATAGGTGTGTATACAAAAGCTTAAATAAAAGGCAAAATATTGCACTCAAAAATAATAATTTTTGTGGAAATTAACAGTCGTTAGACAGTCTTTTTAAGGACAGCTTCAATTTTTTATTGCAACAGGAATCACGACTTCTTAGTCCTCTTCAAACATTTTCAACAGAATTGAGGCTGTCAGAATGACTTGGCCTTTCAATCACATCCAAGATGTGATGCAGGAACCGCACTTTCACCAAATTGGATGAATGTTTCAGACCATTGTCTTACTAAAATGTCGATAATTGTGGCTTATTTTCTCCGGCAAGCGGTAACGTTGCAGTTTTCAGCCAGTTTTTATATACAAACCTATCCATAGTGTTTTCTGAGATGTAACAGATCAACAGCCTCTCAAAAAGACATCCCCATATCAAAAGCTTTCTTCTGTCATTCTTCATTGTTTTTTTCGTAAATCTCATTTGGATTTTTTTCTGTTGATTAAAGTGCACTTCTTCCCGCATCCTTTCCAAACAAAATTATTTTAGTTTGGTCGTTTCAAAAGAGATTTCTCCTATTTCTTAGCCATCTGGCCTGCATCAATTTTTATGGGCTAAAGCACAATCTTTCGTCTTCTCCAAATTAGATATTATTAGCTTATATTCAAATGTTAAATAAAGGATATAGCATGCTTAAATCATTTTTGTAATTCTCGCAAAGACCAACATGACTTTATTGAGCCTTTAAAAATTTTTAAACAACAATAGCGTCGATATATGTACACTTTTTAAAACCTGGTTAAAATATTCCGAGAAACTACTGTATTCAAACTGCACTTGTATAAAAAGGAATCAGTTAGTTGGAGGAGCCGCAATTTTAATCCAGAATAGCTTGACGTTCTATGGAATTTCATCAATTAAAACTGATGTAATTGAAAATATCGGTGTTCGCAATGCTATTGGATCCACACGGTTCATTCATATATATTTTCTTGGTGGAGCTTGTTCAAATGAGCTTAAGAGTAAATTTAAAAGAAATCTATGTAAAATTACAAACGGCGACATTCCATCTGTTTAAAGATCTATGCCATTTAAGTATTGAGATATGGTATACTTTATCTAAAGATATAGCATATGCTTTCACAGAAAAATTTTTAGAAAATCATAAAGTATGTTGTAACTTGAGCTCTCCTGCTAGAGAGCATATAGCTAATTCTGCTCTGGTCGCATTATATTCAATTTTAGTTTACATCTCAGAGAAGAAAGGAGGAAGCGACGAGGCCGTTAAATGTTTGGTGCGTGAAACTTGCCTAGCAAAAGCTCCAAGTATAGATGACTTCAAAAATATAGCTTTAAAAAATATTCACCGAAAAGGGATCCGATTTTTGTTTGCATGATTAAATCATGCATTAAACTATAATTTCTCCAAAAATGTAGAAATTGGCTAAAATTATTCCAGTATCTAAGTCAGGCGAACCGCTAAATAATGTCAACAGTTGCCAATTTATTTATCTTTGGGGCTGTCCAAGCAGGATCTTTAGAAAAGTAATTAAACAGAAATTATTGGAAACAATTTCTGGAAAAAACATTATTTCGAATGAAGATTAAAATGATTTTTAAAGTGACATCTCTTGGTTTCCCGTCTTTGTAAGTTGAATTAATCTAAAGCGTTTGGTCTTAAATATACTTTAGCCTTTCTGTTTTAGATGAATTTTCTTATCTATTACCTGCGCCTGTAGGTGTTCCGCAAGGACACGTTCCGGGCAAAATTTTATATTTGAGTTTCTCTTCTGGCTTCGCAAAACTTAATGATGTCATGTTGCTTTATACGTCGATGATATTGGTATATATTTATCGCTTCAACTTGGTTGTAAAATAGTTAAAGAGCTGCAACTTTCGATTCGTATAATATCTAATTGTCTAAACAAATGGGAAATTAAGTTAAATACAGATAAGATGAAAACCATATCGAAAAAAAAGCTTTGCTTTCATCTGGATTGACAATTTAAGGTAATGAAATTCCTTTTTTTGGTCACGTTAAGTACTTGAGACGCTTGGTAAAATATTAACCTTCTGCAAATATGTTCAGCTTGCCAAAAACAAATACAACGTTGCCATAAAAATGCTACACCCAATAATAAACAGGAATTCCAAAGTACAGCAAACAATATCCTCGTATGTCTTTCGAATATCATCACATCCAACTCACATTGAACATTTACAAAGATTCCAAAATAAATGATTGGAAATGATCCTTAACTTGTGTAGGTACTTTTCTGCAATCAAGTTGCACGAATCATAAATTACCCAGAGCATTCTTTTGGTAATAATTATCTCTTCATAGAAAGTGTTCAAAATTTTGACGTGTAGGTTGTCTTTGCTTGATATTAATGTATTTGCAATTGCACGTTTTATTGCGGCTATGTTCCCACGTCTTAGTGATAAATATATACCTTTTTGGTTTAATTCTTTGTGATAAATCGGCGCAGTGATTTGTGCACAATTTGTATCTATATTTAGTGCGAACGTTTCATAATCTGTGAGATAGTGGCGTATGGGTTGCAAGTCCGTCCTCATATTCCATTTTTTTGATTTGGAAATCATAGTGATTGGGTGACAAGTCGTATTTTCTGTTTTATTGCTTGCTGATCTAGGATTATCAATAGTCTTTGATCCAATTGATTCTACTACCTAATGTGTAATTCCCGTGAGTTTGATGTTTTTTTCCTTGTGTTCATCATAACTCCTCAATGGATGTTCTTTGCAGAGTGATATGTCTGCTCTGTATCGATCAAACGTGTTAAGTTGTTTGAATTTTTGATGTTTAAATTGATGTAATTTGATATATTTGTGAGCTTCACGTTGTAATACTGG